ATCCAATCTGATAGCCTGTGTCTTTTGATTGGGGCATTATGCCCATTTACATTCAGGGTAACTTTTGAAAGATATGAGTTTAATGTCATTGTATTACCTGTAAGGTGACCGTTACTGTATATTGTCTCTGTTCCTTTCCAGTCTATGTTACTTTTAGGCTCTTTCTTTGCTTAGAGGACCCCTTTCAATATTTCCTGTAGGGCTGGTTTGGTGTTTGCAAATTCTTTTAGTTTTTGTTTGTCCTGGAAGCTTTTTATCTCTCCTTCTATTTTTAATGACAGCCTAGCTGGATATAGTATTCTTGGCTGCATATTTTTCTTGTTTAGTGCTCTGAATATATCATGCCAATCCTTTTTGGCCTGCCACGTCTCTGTGGATATGTCTGCTGCCAACCTAATATTTCTACCATTGTAGGTTGCAGACCTCCTCCTGAGTTGCTTTCAGGGTTTTCTCTTTGTCTCTGAGACTTGTGAGCTTTACTATAGATGTTGGGGTGTTGACCTATTTTTGTTGATTTTTTTTTTCTATTTTTGTTGATTTTGAGGAGGGTTCTCTGTGCCTCCTGGATTTTGATGCCTGTTTCCTTCTCCAAATTAGGGAAGTTCTCCAGTATAATTTGCTCCAGTATACCCTCTGCCCCTCTCTTTCTTTCTTCTTCTTCTGGGATCCCAATTATTCTACTATTGTTTCATCTTATGGTATCACTTATCTCTCAAATTCTCCCCTCATGATTCGGTAGTTATCTCTCTTTTTCTCAGCTTCTTTATTCTCCATCATTTGGTCTTCTATATCACTAATTCTCTCTTCTGCCTCATTTATTCTAGCAGTTAGAGCCTCCATTTTTTATTGCACCTTATTAATAGCCTTTTTGATTTCAACTTAGTTAGATTTTAGTTCTATTCTTTCTCCAGAAAGGGATTCTCTAGTATCTTCTATGCTTTTTTCAAGCCCAGCTGGTATCTTTATACTCTAGTTCTGACATCTTACTAATATCCATATTGATTAGGTCCCTGGCAGTCGGTACTGCCTCTTATTCTTTTTTATTTTTATTTTTTGAGGTGAGTTTTTCCATCTTGTCATTTTATCTTACAGAAAGTGGTCACTTTTCTGTTCATATAATTGCTGCTAATCTTTTCTTCAATCTCTTGTTGAGTTTGTAGGTGTTCATAATGGTTTGATAACTATCTAGCTGAATAAGTGAGATCAGATGAAATTTAGGTCTCCTACTCCTCCGCCATCTTGCTCCTCCCCTAACTCATCTATAACTTGTGCACATCATCTAATCTCTTTAGGTGACACTTTTCTCTTTGTCAGTGAGGCACAAGACTAAATGTTATTATGGTTTCTTCACCTTTAAGGGAATAATATTAAGAAAATTTCCTTCTTTTCTTACTCAAGTAACCCAGGGCTCTCAAAGAGAATAAACAAGGGAAACCCTGTTAATACTCTTATAGTTCATTTGATGATAGTGCAATGGTGTATCTGTGTGCGGTACTTAATATAATGTAGTTTCATGCAGTAAAATGTTTAAGTCTTTTTACTCATATCATTTTGTTTCTTACATATCCAATTTTTAAGATTTGTAATTATTCCAAAATGTTGGCAGGCCCTAAAGAATAAAGTCACCTCCATCTTGACTTCTACTCTTTTATATTACCAGTAAAATTAGTTTCAGCTCTGGAGAGAATATGACTATTATCACCTGTTCTGGATGATTCTTGATTTTTAAAATGTGACACATTTGTAAAAATAAAACTCTTCTATTTGCTCCTTACATTATTCCATAGTAACCATAGTATACAGAGCAATAAAACTATGTCGTGTAACATTAAACATAACTTCATATGATATCAAATATCTAGATGTGATATAGAACCAAATGTTGTATATATGCTGCCCAGTAGAGTAGCCATTATCTGTGGTTATTGAGTGCTTGAAATATAGCTAGCATAACCCAGGAACTGAATTTTTCATTTCATTTTATTTTAATTAATATATATATATTAGCTATAGGTAGTTAGTAGCTACCATATTGGACCATGCATATCTAGATTTTTAAAAATATAAGTTAGTGGGGCGCCTGGCTGGTGCAGTCAGTTCTTGGTTTCAGCTCAGGTCATGATCTCAGGGTCCTGGGATTGAGACCCAAGTGGGGCTCTGCATTCAGCACAGAAGTCTGCTGAAGTTTCTCTCTCCATCTCTCAATGCTCCTCTCTCTCTCTCTCAAATACATAAATAAATCTTTAAAAAATAAATAAATAAAATTTAATAAATTATCTGGAGACTTCTAATTACTTGACATATGATCTAGAAATAAAAGTGAGCTTTTCTACTTCATTTGTAAGTATGGCATTGTATCTAAAGATTTTTTTAATTCAAAATTGCTCCTATGATAATAACATTTATTATCATGGAGCTTCTAATAATTGCAAAGCACTTTTGCAGTTACTTTATGTACACTGTGTGAAGTCTTCAAACAACCCTGCCAAACAGGTGTTATTATTGCTATTTTACATAAGAATAAACTGAGACTCACAGCGCTAGTCAGTGAAGGAGCTGTAATTCAAAGCCAGTTCTGAGAAACTTCAATCATTGCTTGTTTCATTCCCCATTAATAAAAAATAGATAAATTCTTGAAAAAAAATAAAAATATAGGGTCTCTCTCCAGAGCTTGAATGTTACACAATGGCAATAACTACTATGATGCACATGCATTTTAAATGGATGTGTATTTAGAAAACAAACAAACAGAAGATCAGAGAAGTGTTATGCGTTTTATTCATACAGAAGGCAACTCCTTATTAAGTTTCAAAAGAATCGGTATTTCCTAGAACCAGCTATTGTAAGGTAAAATCCACTCAGTCAACCGCCAAGTTTCTCTATGTGTCTGAAAGAGCATACAACACTTTAGGAGACGGTGATGTCAAAACACCTGCTAAACTCAAAGCACATCCAGCTCTCTGGCTTCATTTAGTACCACATCCCTCCTGCCTTATCCTAGCATTAAGTGGGAGTTCTCTCAAGCAAGACAAGCGTGCTTCATTTTTTTATCTCTAAATATCCAGAACTTGGCATAGGACCCAACATCTGGGAGGCATGCAATGTTTCTGCATACATAAACAGATGAACAAATGAATGTACACAATGCCTGAGTTCTTTAGGTTCAAGGAATGTGCAATCACATAGACATCCACCCTGGCACCTGGGCTCTCACGTAGGTCTCTATCATGGCCCTGGGGGCATTAATGTTCATTCTCACATGGGCATCCACTGAGTCCTTTCAGGCAAGGACTATCTCCCTTATCACTGGATCTCTTTATTCCATTTCTTGATACGATAGGTGATCAATTACTCTTTATACAATGACTGAATAAATGAATCAGTATATTCTATAGATTAATTAATAACAGGGAAATTAGTTTTGTAATTTTTATTCATAGTACACTTTGTTTTAGGATATATTTGATATTCAATTCATAACAACCCTAAAAAAAGGAGGGACATCTGATTTAAACATTCTCATCATAAAATTCTGAAAACTGAGGATCAGAGAGTGTAAGTGATATACCTATAAATGGCCCAGGAGTTACAGAGCTGCCCTTGCAACTTGATTCTCCTAATTTATATTCTATCTACACCACATTAGGGAATAATGCTTTAGAGCTCACAGCTCATATACATAACTTCATTTGATTTTAAATGAGTCCGATGAGCTGGGAGGAACAGGTATTATTCCCATTTTACATATGAGGGAATTGAACGTCTGGGAAGTTGACAGTAGCACCCATGTTTGCAGAACGAGCAGGAGCACAGCAAGTATTTGAGAAACACATCAAGTACCAGTTTTCTAAGTCCTAATCCAGTTTTCTTTCCATTTCAGCATGCTTATTCCAGAAAAGAAAAATACTAAATAGTACAAATAAAGAATTTCTAGTGCTGTAAGGAACAGCTTGCTGAGGAGAGAGGCCTTCAGCTCTAGTATTAAAGGAAGGGGTGATGCAACCAGGTGGATGGGCGGGTCTGGGAGTAGGGCTTGCTGATGACGTGGCTGAAATGGACTAGACAGAGGGGAGCATAATTCTGCATAATGAGGAATTAAGTAACAGCATACCGGTTGCATGGAAACAGCACCTCTTGAATGCCATCTTCCTCTTCAGATTTAACAACAATACTCTCAAGAAACCATCCATTACCTGTTTAAATGGACAAAGGAGATCATGTTCTTTTGCATAAAATATACTACTGTTGTGATTTTATTCATAGACTGTCCAAATGTTCAAAATTTGGGTCCAAAATATGCACTTCCAAATTATACCAGGAAAGAAATGAAAGTGTGAGTGAGGGATCTAATTATTCAGAGTAGTAGAAGCAGAGGAAAAGAGAAGATTCCCTATCAGGTACAAACTCTCTAAATTCCTTTAAAAGTATTTAAGGGCCAAGAACAAAAAGAAATAAATTCCCATAAATATGTTTCAGTGCATTATTTATAGAAGGTTGATAGATTTAAATCATGATGTAAAGTCACAATAATCATCACTTTTAATGGTGAAAATCTAGAAGTTATCACTGATTACTACATTTTTCAATGCAACTAAATAAAGAGGAAAGAGAAACGGAAGGAAGGAGAATAAAAAGTACTAAATGTTGAGAAAGAAGAAACAGAACTGTCATCATTCATGTGTAATGTGACTTTCTAAATTAAGAACCCCAAGATGTTGCAGAAGATAGTGAGAGATGAGAAAAAATGATTACATAATAAATATATAAAGATCTATTGCATTTCTATTGACCCAGAAAGGAAGCGTTAAGAAGCATAGTTCAACGAAAGCAATCATGTTGAATTGCTATAAAAATTTAAGAATGTAAGGGTAAATCTAAAAACAGATACAGCATAATTTATAGAAAAATTATTGGGGCACCTGGGTGGCTCAGTAGGGTTAAGCATCCAACTCTTGATTTTGCCTCAGGTCATGATCTCATGGATCTCATGGGTAGTGGGATCAAGTCCCCCCCACCCCCTAGGCTTGGGCTCTGTGCTCAGCAGTGGGTGTGCTTGGAATTCTCTCTCTCCCTCTCCCTCACACACATTCTGGTGCTCTCTCTCTCTAAAATAAATAAATCTTTTTTAAAAGGAAAAATTATCTAAATTAAGCATAACAGCAAAGAAGACATAAATAAATAAAGAACTATTTCATATTCCTGAGAGTGAAGAAATTATCGTGATGTCAGTTTCTCTCAAACTAATCTAAAGCTTGAATATAATTAAATCAAATTCACCATAAGTTTTACCAAGAAAATTGACAAGCAAATCATAAAATGTATATGGATATGTGAAGCCCAAGAATATCTCAGGCACTCCTGAATTAGATAGAGTAAGGTAGGCGAATCATCCTTCCAATTACCAACATTTGTTATAAATCTATACTAATTAAGATAATACAGAATTGGTGCTGTCATAGATAAATTGACTGATGCAACCAGAGAAAGGACTCAGAAATGACCTGCACATCCACACAAACTCATTACAAGCAGTCTGTTTTGCTCTCGGTGTGGAAGTGTATGAAGGACTGCTCACTGGGAACGTCATCTTCATCAATGAAGAAAATGATGACTGTTCATTTGTTAAATATTTTTGCCAAAATATCAAAAACTCCCTTACTGTCAGTTAAAAATGTATAAGAAAATTAAAAAATACCAATGCTAATATTTAGTACTCTGTAATTGAAAAACATTAGAAACAGTGAGAATTAAAAGGTATGTTTCTGGGGCGCCTGGGTGGTTCAGTCGTTAAGCATCTGCCTTCAGCTCCAGTCATGATCCTAGAATCCTGGGATCGAGCCCCACATTGGGCTCCCTGCTCAGCGGGAAGCCTACTTCTCCCTCTCCCACTCCCCCTGCTTGTGTTCCTTCTCTCGCTGT